ATTTTCTGTGGACACTTTTATTTTCTGTGGGTACTTTCATTTTCTATGGACACTTTTAGTTTCTATGGGTACTTGTTTTTTCTTGTGTTGTACTTTTATTTTCTATGGGTACTTTGTATTTTCTATGGGTTACTTTTATTTCTATGGGTACTTTTATTTTCTATGGTTACTTTTATTTCTATGGGTACTTTTATTTTCTGTGGACACTTCTTATTTTCTGTGGGTACTTTCATTTTCTATGGACACTTTTAGTTTCTATGGGTACTTGTTTTTTTCTGTGTGTACTTCCATTTCCTATGGGTACTTTTCTTTTCTATGGACACTTGTTTTTTTCTGTGTGTACTTCGCGAAGTTCTTCAGTGGCTGGCGAAGCGACATTCACTTTGTTTTCATGTGGATACTCCCATTTTTATTATGGGCGGCATATTTCTGTTTACCATTCTAGGCAACTAAATTCACTTTGAAGCTATTAAAACATAATATACGTAACACCTTAAGAAAAATTAGTTTGTTTTGCATGCAATGAACCACACGTTTATTAATTATGAGTATTAAATAGTGATTATTACATCCTGGCATAGATTATGTTAATGCAATGCAGGACCATACTATTTTCGGGGATGCTAGGACATATTGTTCAGACTGCCGTCAACATTTCCGTAGCGATATATGGTAAATCACTTCCTCGCTGGATGTATATTACTCCTTTGTATTCAATAAAGCCCGTAATCTAACGTGAGGGTTCATTGCTAGCCTCCTTTTTAGGCGTTCCCGGATCGGTGTTCTTTTGGGGGGTAGGGGGGTATTTTCTGATCAAACGTAGATCGCACGCAATAGAAGCTCCGGCCGGCAACCCTACATAGCTCCAACCGGCCGGTTGGACGTGGCGTTTTGAATAAGTGTACTTATGGGCCTTCGTAAGTTTATACCTTTTCTTTTATTATATATTGTATGGTTTGTGCAGGGAGCTTTGAAAACCACCAACATGGTGATATGCTGCCCCTGGATAAATAAATAAAATAAAAATTATTACGCATTTTGGTCACAGTTAATGTGAAAGAAAACTAAACCAATGCTTTTTCCACCATCAGTACATTGCAGAATATCTGCAATAGTTTGAATTTTTTCCTTTTTTTAAAATGAGCCACAGCATATATCATTTGCTTATTATATTTAACGAGGGAAAACATACTGTTTTTACTCAGTTTCTTCCTCTTCTTCTTCTCCAAACAGTGACCTCTGACCTGACCAATGCCATGATTTGTTGACATCTGTCACCATGGTGACTGGTGTTGGGTTACATAATGTTGCAATTTCATGGTCTGCTCTGCTCCTGTCACCATATACAAGTAGTACATTTATGTAAATGTGTTTGAGTAATGTTCAGTGTTTTGTTCATCTACAGAGAGCAGGAGACAGTCGAGGACATCTGTGTCCAGTAGGTCAACGGCCCGTAGGTCGTTGTTCAGTGTGCAAGAGAAGGACCACGACAGCGCGGTGACAGAGCCGACCACAGACACAGCCTCCTTCACATTCACTCCCTCCAAGTCCAAGTCTTCCAGCTCCAGACTGAAGGGGAGTCTCAGTATTTACCTCGATGGTAAGTAAAAATACTTTCTTAAGTCTAGAGTTAAGGCCATACCAATTTAATTTGTTGTTTCTCAGATTTTTTCAGAAAAAATAAGCGACAGGGAAAAAGAAAACAGGCCAAGGCACCCCATGATAGCCGTAAATGTTACGATATGAGCCATGAAGTCAACATATTGATCTTTGAATGAAATAAAATTTATAAAGTTGCATCGTTACATTAAAAAACTACAAAGAAAAGGACTTTCTTCAACCGTTTGGGCCAAAATATGTCTTTCAATGAGCATTTTGGAGTTGATTCAGAACCTATTAAAATCTCTTTTTTGTGCAAATCAGGAAAAAAATGAAGCGGGCAAATCCGAGAAACAACAAAGTAAATTGGTGTGGCCTAACAATGACACAATGAGATGTTTGTTGTATTCCAAAATTGCAGAGATAGGTAAAGCTAGCTTTATGCACCAATAAAACAGTGCCAGCCATTTAGTGCCCTCCATGAGAGCCAATCAGCACCAAGGACAGGGAAGGCTTTTCCCCAAGAACAGATTGTCCAATCAGCACCAAGGACAGGAAAACCTTTCCTCCAGGTACAGATTGTCCAATGAGCACCAAGTACAGATTGTCCAATCAGAACCATGGACAGGGAATGCTTTTGCCAAGAACAGATTGTCCAGGAAACAAGGTCTTCCACGTTTGTTCATAAACTAACCCTCCCCATGTGTTCATGCATAACTCCAGGAAACAAGGTCTCCCATAGGTGTTCATGCACAACTCCAGGAAACAAGGTCTCCCATAGGTGTTCATGCATAACTCCAGGGAACAAGGTCTCCCATAGGTGTTCATGCATAACTCCAGGGAACAAGGTCTCCCATAGGTGTTAATGCATAACTCCAGGAAGCAAGGTCTCCCATAGGTGTTCATGCATAACTCCAGGGAACAAGGTCTCCTATAGGTGTTCATGCGTAATTCCAGGAAACAAGGTCTCCCACTTGTGTTCATAAGCTAATCCTCATGTTTTCACATCTCCAGGAAACAAGGTCTCCCACGTGTGTGCCGTGAACCCGCGTGACGGCTGCACGGCGCTACACCGCTCCATCGAGAGTAAGCAGTGTAAGCCGGAGCTCGTGCAGGCCCTGCTGGAGTCGGACAGCTCCTGCATCAACCTCCAGGACGATACGGGATGCACCGCGCTGCACCTCGCGTGCAGGCTCGGACACAAACCCATTGTCAAATTACTGATGGTAAGGATGCTTCAGTCCTACTTCTTGTAACAGTTATGGACATCAGTACATCGGCAGAACACACTGCACCTGCACAAAACCCACATTTTTCACGGTTTTCATTGGATCTCTGGTCAACCTTTCATCAGAATTTTGCCTGTTACAGATAATGTTTTTTCCGACAAAGAATTTGCAGAGTACAGATAGAGCGTTACCCATATATGCATGAACAAGACCTTATATGAGACGAAGTGCACAATACGTTATGGGTTTTGCACAGGTGCAGTATGTTCTGCCAAAGTGCTATGGACATCCATGTACATACAGAAAAAGTTATGGTGCTAATGTTAGACATAGAGCTATGAAAGCCTGAGCTACTGGCAGGTAGTGGATCATGGGGAGCGGACGAAAGCTAAAAAGGCTGACAATCAAGCTAATGAAAGACAAGGAAATGTAGAAGTCCTGAAAATATGAAAATTGTAAAGAATGCTGAAAAATTTGAATGCAAATCAAAAGGATGCAGAGTGAAGGTTTGAATCTTCAGCTTGATTATGTTGACAGTATGTGGATCTGAAGTGGATGAACTTGAAGGGTTGAAATGAGTGACTTAAAACTGATAATTCGTTTTTCTGTCAAATGATGCCAGCTTCCTTCCTAAGTTGACAGGCACGTAGAAAATAAACTTGTCATATCATGGGCTGAGATGATATTGGATTTAGTCTTGGTGACTAGTGACATTTGATATTTTATTTATTAATACTATGCTGTATGCTCCAAGAGTATGGTCTATGATAACACAGCACTGAAAGATATTTCCTCTTTTTGTAGTCCCAAGGACACAAATTCAAGTTTCACACAAGACTTGTATTTTTGGCGATGCCTTAGGGGCGGAGCCATTAGTATTGGAATTTCGTTTTAGTTGTAAGGGACAGAATGTTCTTACAAGTGTACATGTGCAATCAAAGCTGGTTTAAGCCATTTATTTCAGATGAAAGATTATAAGTATGAATTATGAGTGTTTCAGTGTCAGATTTGAATGTTTTACACTGGAGTAAGTGGTGGTGGTATTGTGTATTACTAACAATCATGATCAGAAAATAAACTCTTCAGTATTTCCCGCCCCAAGTCTCTATCTATCTGTCTTGTCAATCAGTGATTCATTAAATCTGTTAAGAGCAAATATTTGACGAATTGATCACTCAATCAACCAATCAATCAAGTACAAGTAATTATAATGCAAATCAATCATGCAATCATGCAATTGGGTAAATAAATAATGAAAGTAATGAGTGTATGTATTGATTTGGCTCTAACCCTTCCCTGAGAAATACACATATATCTGCAGTGGACATTTTCGTTTTGAAGTTTGGATAAGGTTAACAGGAGCAGGGTGGATGGTTTCTCATTGTTTTTGCAGGAAGTCATTTGTAGATTAAAGGTATCCAGTACAGTTTTGGGGCAAGGAAACCAGATTTATCAAAGTCAATATTCTAGTCACTTACCAACTATTAAGTAAGTTAAAACAACACTGTCCCAATGTATATTGACATTCATGGAGCAAAAATGCCCAAAATTCTGACAAAATTGGAAGAACCTGTATTGATTTTTAGGGTACCACCCAGAAATTAAAGAACTAATCTTGGGGCTTGTTTCTGCAGTTTTACATGCCCAAAGTATGAAATCCTGATTCAAATGTGCTAAAGTCGGATAGTAACTATTTTTTCAATGTGTAACTCTACTACCACATTTTGACTCCAAGATTGTGCAGTCGGTAATGTTTTTGAAACTGGATGTACATCTTTGAATGCAATTCAGCTTTCTGCTGCAATGTTCTTGATTTTAGCAATAAACCATTTTTGATTGATTGATTGATTGATTGTATGTGTCACTATCACAAAGATTGCCCTATTCAGAATATTTCCAGTTTTGCTGCCCTGAAATTGCACTGGATGCCTTTAAGTTTAACATGAGATGATGGTTTTCATGAAAAACAGCTTGAATTCAAGCTTTTTTCAGTACTTAAAGGGAATGAGTACTTTTAAGTACTTTTAAGTACTTTTAAAAAAGTATTTTAGGTTTCATGATGAATTCTTTTAAGTTTCTCCATCCAGTGAGGAAACAACATAGCGTTGTCAGTTGACAGTTTACCACTAGTTTTGAGCCTGACTTTTCCGTAACTACAGTCCAATCAGCACGTGGACCTGAACATGCGGACCCTGGAGGGACACCTGCCTGAAGAGATGACCAAAACAACTCTCATTCAAAAAATGGTGGAGAAGGCTCGCGCAGATGCACCCAATAGGTAAGATAACGTTATTTATGTCATACCTGGGCCACAATTACTTTCAATACAGGTGTTCTGGCTTGTGTGATAACTAGCGGTATGGCCTGGGCTTCCAAAATGATAGAATAATTCGAATGCGTTTTGCGCACATCGAGTGCGCCGCTTACGACACTTCGAACACCGAATTAGGATGTTGATATTGACGCCGTTACACTTTTTGTTTAGATACACCAAATTTTGGCACAAAAAAAAATCCACGGCTCTCAGTGGCCAATATGAGATGTTGTCACATTGGTGCACCAAATCCGTAAGGTGTTTTTGGCACCCTGACAGACAGATTAGCCTAAGAGGCTCGGTTGGCATCGCTCCACCGTATAGGTGGGAAGTCGTGTAAAGTGCCTTTCCCAAGGGCACAACGTCGGGCCATGGTGAGTATTGAACCCGGGACCTCTCAGTTCCGAGTCCAGCACTCTAACCGTTGCGCCACCGACGCCACTGTAAATTTTGGCACATTTCGCATTGAAATGTCCGTTTTCTTGGTGGGAATGACATAAATAAAATACTACACGGTGTATTCAGCTTACGGAATACACCGTGTATTATAATATCATGTATCACTTTCTGATTGCACACCCCAAATATTATCATAATATTCCTAATATATACAAGTTAAGTCTATCACATTCCATATGTACCAAGTCATTGACATGTGACAACCTGTATTGTACATATATATAGGACATCTTCAAAAATGCCTAAAGGCTAGAAATTCCACCATTGATTGTAAAAACATTATCAAGGTAGAATAGTCTAATAGTATGTTTGATATATGCAGTAGATACCATACTTTCTACCACCTTGTTCGATTGTTATGCAGAAAAGTTTATTTATTATTATTTCCAGTAATCTTGATTTCATATTGATATCTGTACATAATGATGTATTTGTTGACATTTCAAAACTTTTTAAATTTCCAGCTCTATGATGATACTTCTGGACACTTCAGCCAGCAGTGGTGGAGGTGCAAGTATCGACTTCGACTCACTCAATCTCAGATTTGAGAGACTAAAGAAGGAACTATAACATACAAACTAGTACTATAGAACCTTTATTATGCCACATATGGTATGAAGCAAGTTTAAACTGTAATTTCCAACACAACAAATTGGACTCACACAAATTTTCGACTGTACAACTCCAGTCTTTGTCAAGGAATGAGCAATCCACCGCTTCCGTGACGTCACGCAGATAACACACAGGACTCCGTGAGCAGTGGATCATAGGTTGTAGAAAGTCTGTGGCGCGGCTGGCGCCCCCCGGCTCTGTTGAGGGATGGTTGTAATGAAAATTTGGGTGAGTCCAATTTGTTGTGTTGGAAATTACAGTTTAAACTTGCTTCATAATGATTTCTACCAACACAGATGAACTTTCAAGATAGAAATGCTTCATATGTGTTTGCATGTAAATATTATCACATACAAATCTTGGGTGAAGGGACATTTTTTTTACACTTTGTAAAGGAGTTGATATCATCATCATACATATTTATCATAATAATAGATATAATGTTTGCAGTCTACTATACATGTACCTATTTTGCATAACGTTAAGATTGTGCCAAAACTTGAAAAAAGTTTTGTCTGATGTTTTGAATGATAACAACTTCATAAAAATATTTTTGTCATTCTATTACATTTCATGTGTTTTGCATTAAACTGTACTACATGTACTGTGGTAGACCAAAACATGGCCAATTTGTGAACAAAACAACTTTAAGAGATATCTTACCTTATTAACCCTAGTTCCTCCTGTGCCTCAAGAGAGGCACGCATATGTAAAATATCAGGTCAGAGTTCATTGGGGCAAACCATTGCAGAAAAGGGTAGAACCTTTGGGACTGGAAGGCTGGGTCTAGAAGTCTAGAACATTGGGGTTTTTTGATAAACTAAATGTGTGTTCTGTATACCAGTAGTGTTTACGTAGAAGTGTATACGCCATATGCATGTACAGTATATATAGATCTAGTTAATCTTGTACAGTTTCAATACACAACAATGTTTTGAATATCTGAGAGATTTGCAATTTAGTTCCAGAAAAAAAAATTACCAAAATACCATGTAATGTGTATGAGACATTTATTTAGATAACCAACAATATTTTAGCTAAGCAATATGTTGTATTGTTTTGTATTAATGATGACAATATGCGATATATACATGAGATTTTGGTTTTATTTAAAGGTATGTGTATTCTCTTTTTCTTAACATTGTATAGAGGTTGTGTGAAAAAGAATAAAAATGTTGCAAAAAAATTCAATTTTTATTGTGGTTTATGGGATGTTTGTATGATACACTTACTACAATATCAGAGTAGAAAGTTTGCAATGCATAGCGTTCTTCCCACGGTTTCAAGAAAATTACAAATGTAATAGTACAGAAGAACATGTTAAAGTATTAATTCTTTAAATGTTGAGATAGGACTGTGCTCTATGATTCTTAACAAGTTTGTTACACAAAATGGTGGGTACTTTATATTTATAATGACTGGTTTGAACTAGTTTATCTGTCCTCTGTGAGGGTTGGCAAAATCCCGCCCTTTTCTTTAAAAGCTGCGCTCGGTCGTCGATCGGTGGCGTTCGGATCCCCGAGCCTGCCACCGGACATATCCGAGCTCTGCCGACGGCTTCCCGAAGTGCCGACGCTAGGCCGACGACTTCCCGAGGTACCGACGCCAGGCCGACCACCTCCCGAGGTGCCGACGCTTGGCCGACGACCGTCGGAAACGCCCGAACTCAGGCGAACAACGCCCGAAGTCCCCACGAAGCTACTTTCCCGCCAGGAGGAAGAAGACCCCACACTGCTGGTTCGTCTGTCCCTCCTGGTGTCCTCTGTGTCCTCGTCCCATGCCCTGCTGTCCCGGCGTTTCTTCTGCGTGGCCATGTGATGTGTGCTGATGCCGGTCGTCAGGCGAGGGTGTTCCGGGGACGAGTAGATGTCGTACGTTCTTGCGTACTGGTCGCGAAGGAACTTGCATAAACAAGACAGCAAGAAAACATATCAGACATAATATTATCATGAAAGTTCACCTGTGTTGGTAGTTACATGTTTAAAGTTAAAACTTTTGGTCCAACACAAAAAGCATTCTTGAGAGGTGTGAAGGAAGCCATATAGATCAGGGCCCATCACCCTTCATTGAACCGCGGCGGGGGCCGACATCGTCTACCAGATACCTTTGACCCAGTGTTGACGTCACACTTCAAAGAAGCCACGTGACAAGCTTCACTGGGTCAGTCTACTTGAGCAAGACCAGAGTGACTGGTCGAAAGCTCTAGAGAGAATTTTTTGTGTGTGTTGGACCAAAAGTTTTATCTTTAAACAATACGATATATATTACCAATACAGTCCTATGTAACACAAATCCTTACAATACCACGCAACATTTGGCCATATTTACAACAAAGTCAACCATATGTCCCTGTCCTTGGTGCTGAACTCCAAGCCCTAACAACAAAACCAAGGCACCATCACTCCAGAGTCATGTAAACCATTGCCGATTGAAAGGAGCGTTGTCTTCTTTCATGTAGCTTGTTAGTGTCAAGTTATCTATGAGCACCACAAGGAAGAAGATATCCATGCCTGACTTTCTTTACCGTTTTAGACATGGAAAGAGGTAAGATACTATAGACACTACCTTAGACTGAATGCTGTTTGTGTCGAGTATCTCCCAGTGACGTTTGGACTCCTTTGTGCGAGCGTACCACAGCCTGTTGTAGTAGCTTTTCGTGGCGTTGGTCACCTGTGTGGATGTAATGTATACTTTTCAATATCACTTCTTGGGAGAGTAGGGAGAGAGAGAGAGAGTAGAAAGAGGAGGGAGAAAAAGAGTAGAGAGAGGAGGGCGAGAGAGAGTAGGGAGAGAGAGAGAGAGTTCGGAGAGAGAGTTGGGAGAGAGAGTTGGGAGAGAGAGTTGGGAGAGAGAGAGTTGGGAGAAAGTAGGGAGAGAGAGAGTTGGGAGAGAGAGAGAGAGAGTTGGGAGAGAGAGAGTTGGGAGAGAGTAGGGAGAGAGAGAGTTGGGAGAGAGAGAGTGGGGAGAGAGTAGGGAGAGAGTAGGAGGAGAGAAAGAAAGAGAGAGTAGAGAGAGAGAGAGAGTTGGGAGAGAGAGAGTGTGTGTGTAGGGAGAGAGAGTAGAGAGAGAGTTGGGAGAGAGAGTAGGGAGAGTGAGTAGAGAGAGAGTTGGGATAGAGTGTGTGTGTAGAGAGAGAGAGAGTAGAGAGAGAGAGAGAATAGGGAGAGAGAGAGAGAGAGAGAGAGAGATTTGCTAGTAGAGTGTGGTCCCTGAAGCATCCCCCGTTCTTACGTTTTTCCGTAGAAGTGGCAGGTCGTCGAAGGTGAGGTGCTGGTCCCGCTTGAGTTTGTCCTGTTGCTGCTTGACCAGCTCCATCATGGGCAGTTTGATCGCCGTGTGGCGGATCCGAGGGCTCTGCCAGCCCACCTTACCCCTCCTCCGCTCACTCAGGGACTTCGTCGTCGCCTGTTCCCAAAGCACAATCAAAAATATGTAACTACATGATTTTAAGCAGACGCACACACAACTAGAAATGTAACATTGGTCATTAATTATCCTGATGAAGGCGACAGTGGTCGTCGAAAATTTGATCACTCTGTAACCCTTGTGTTGGAATAAAGTTCAATGTTTTACTAGAAAAGTAACAATTGTAAAGCAAATGCATCATGTTTACCTTCGCATGTGACAGGAGTCTAAATCCCTCCTGCTATAAAATTGCAACATGATGTAACCCAACACCAGTTACCGCGGTGACAGACATGAATATACTATTAAACTAGAAAGGTAACATTTGCAAACAAATTCATAATCTTTACCTTCTTATATGGTCTGCTTTGTTAATTCTTACTCAAACAAGTTCATATATATGGCGACAGGAGTCTAAATCCCTCCTGCTATAAAATTGCTACATTATGTAACCAGTTACCATGGTGAGATATGTCTGACCCTTATGAGAAGAGGAAACTGAGCAAAAACAATGTTTTCCTTCGGTAAATATAAATAGACGATTGAATAAATCTTACTTTTCATGTTTACCGATGGGAAAGATCTTGTTTTTGCTCAGTTTCCTCTTCTCCAAACACATAAGGTCAATGACCTGGGCCAGACGTCTGTTACCATGGTAACTGGTGTTGGGTTACATAAGGAAGACAATGAAGCGATCTTACTGACCAGTTCTTTCCTGCCCTGTCCGTTAACGTTGTGCGTAAACTTGACAAGATGGATCCTACTGTGGCTCTTTTCTTTCTTTTTCGTTTTCTTTTTCTCCAGGGTGGGCCACCAGAATTTGTAGTTCAGAGGCTGTGCATAGGGGCTGGCGGAGTCATGTTCTAAAACAATACAAGAGATATTTTAAAACACATTGCAAGAATCAGTGTGCAATATTAGATCGCTCTGGTGTCCAGACAAACCCTATAACTTCATCAAGTGGTTAGGAATCAGGGAATGAAATTGAACGTTAGGCCACAGCAAGTAAATTTTATGGATGACATCAGTGCGTGCGTTGATTTTCGCCTGATTTTGTGATTAAAAAAAAAAGAAATTTTGTTGGTCTGTTGGTTATGATATCATGTTTTGTCGCCTCAATTCTTGTTTAACAAGGTTTGAAATATCAAAAGTTGAAGATGTAGATATATTGTTTTTTTTGTTGTTTTTTTTGGCCCGTCGTATTTTTTTCGCCCTAGCGCATTATTTTTGGAGTCCGAGGAGGATGTCATCCATAGAATTTACTTGCTGTGGCCTTAACTTTATTGCACGACAATCATACAAGATGCAACGTACGGATTTACTTTTATATAAGAGCGACATCTAGCGGTGAACTGTTTCGACACACCTCTGGAGCTGGCGTGCAGGTCCTCCAGCCGCATGTGCAGCTGTTTCTCGGTCAGTCCTATGAGCCTGGCCCCGGCGGCGTAGTGCTGGACCACGTGGGGCGCCTTGTTGTACTTCGTACGGAAGTACCTGACGAGACGAGAACCGGAGGAATTCATCATTTTCACACTTCCCATAATGCCTAGTGCTGGTCACGGATATGACGTAAGAAGCAGATAGACTCCAAACAGTAGTGATATGATGGCATTTCAGTAGATATCCAGTATTTTTTCTTTCGTTCTTTCAAAGTTATTAGTCTTGGTCACATATGTAGGCAAGTTGTTTACAAGCCTATGTAGGTTGCGGCGTCGAAAGTGACTTACCCATGATGCACTGAGAACTGTCATGGCGCCGTGACCAGCACTAAGCATTATGGGATGTGTGAGAATCATCAATAGTGTTCACATATGACGTCACAGCCGCCATCTTGGATGGTTAAACCCGGGCGACCTATAACTATTACAGCTTTACATGTGTGTTGCACGTAACTCAACTTACATATACAACTTCAAATTTGCTACTTTAGGAGACAATATTTAGAGACAATAAGTGCGATGGGGTCGTGTGGCGTAACGGCAGAGTGTTCGTCTCGGAACCAACAGGATCCGGGTTCGAATCCTGCTGTGCCAGTGCCACCGGTCTTGTGCACTTTACACGACTTTTCTCACGTATTCTATATTGTCCTCTGTGTTGGTGACGAAAAACATGTACATGAGTGTGTCGTCACGTATTGTTATTACATCTTGGAATAAAAATATAATTGCGATTATTTAATTTCATGCAATTTTTGTTCTCAACAAACAACGATACTTACCCAACAATTTCCCCTATTCCGATGATGGCGGATTTCTTCATGAACTGTGTGAGCGCCTGGAACAGAAGACTCTCCCTCTCCTTCCGCTGTCTTCTCTCCTCCAGGATCTGATGGTCCGCATCGGAAACCTGGTCAGGATGGTGCTCCTCCACTGAAACAAGACAACCACGGAGAGTTTTCGGAGGTCTCACAACATATACACATAGAATCACCTGGACATTCAGTCTCACTGGACAAAGTAAGAATCCTGGACTCAGAACCTGATTTCTTTGCACGAGGGATTAAAGAAGCCATCTACATCAGGGCTTTACAGCCATCCCTCAACAGAGACGGGGGCACCACAGACTTTCTGCAACCTATGGTCCACTACTCACGGAGTCACGTGTGTTATCTGTGTGACGTCATGGAAGCGGTGGATTGCTCATTCCTTGACAAAGACTGGAGTTGTGGTGGGTAAATTTGGGTGAGTCCAATTTGTTGTGTTGGAAATTGCAGTTTAAACATGCTTCATAACCACGGAGAAATATTATATTGAATCCCTTTCAGCTCACCTCCCCCAAGTCTCGAAATTAACTTTTTTAACTTTTTTCCTATTGTCCCAGCATTGTCCCGAAAATAGATAAATAACCCAACACCAGTTACAATGGTGACAGACGTCTGGTTCAGGTCATTGACTAGGTCAGAGGTCAATGTTTGGAGAAGAAGAAGAAACTGAGCAAAAACAATATGTGTTCCTTCGGTAAACATAATAAGACCAAAGTAATGGCAACAGTAACCTATCTTGAGCTCTCCCGCTCTCGATGCAGTTAATAACGATACAGATATCTTCGAACTCGGTACAAGCCATCTCATGCGCAACTTACCTAGGCTCTCTAGAAACCGTTCTGTGTTGGTCATCAGTGCCAGAAACTCGTCAAAGTCGATCTCCCCATTTCCTGAGAAAAGTCAAAAGTAGAATGAAGAATGAAAGTGATCTCGAACCAGTTTAGCTCATTGAAGAGCTAATCTTCCACTGGTCGTGACAGAGAATACAGACGCTATGTACAGTATTTACAGGTTCATTGTACCGGGGATATTCCCCTAGCTCTTTTGACAAGCACAATGAACAGTGGACCACAGCTTAACGTCCCGTCCTAAGGACTGCGACCCTAAACAGTAGCGTGCATGTCGGGTGGGCGACAACAGCCGGGATTCGAACTCCCAACCTCTTAGTCCAGAGGCAGGATCGCTAACCACTGGACTATGCACGCTACACTCGATACTATATTACATAAAGAATCGATACTATATTACATAAAGTAACTTTCAGCAAGCTCACACATTGAAGTCTTTTAAAATACAATTCCGATGTTTTATGTGAACATTTACCATTAAAAGCGAAGCTCAGGGCGCAAAAAAAAGTAAATATATGATAAGAAATCCGACATTTGTTAGCAAATGCAGAAAATCTCCCTCCCAGTCCCATCTCTTCAAAATTGTTGTTCCCAGACCGGCCGTTTCTATCTGCAGTGCCTCCTAGCAGACGAAGACTGTACTGCAGCTGATGACAGCGAAACGCGAACGAAATGTCGCCTGAAAAGATATAATCACCGTCTTTGTCCAGGCCATAGATGACGTCCACGAGTTCCTCCTTGTCCAGACAGATGTTGACCGATCGGAGAGCTTCGTCCAGCTCCTCGGCGTCGAACGTCCCCCCTCCCGTGCGATCAAAAAGGTCGAACACCTCCCTGAACGCTGCGGGACGATAAGATACCTTGAAGAATACTAATCTGAAATTTTGAAACTTTCCCAGAACGGAACTGCCAAGAAGTACAGTGATACACATTTGACGTTGGTGGTGCATTTTTGCAAAGTTGAAAAATGTTTGAAAAACGCTTGATAATCACAAATGTGCTGTACACAAAAAATGGAACAAAATTCTATCTTCTTGACTCATTACTATTTACTATTTATCTACTTACTTATTAGCACATACATAATAAAAGTTATACAAAATATTACAATGGCAATAAACGTGCAAGGAATGGAAAAAAAGCCACAAAGCTTATTTGATATCCTCCCTATCATGATTTTACAATTTCTACAGTTATATCAAATGAAATATAAATAACAATGAAGAAGTAACGAAAAGATAATAAACAAGTACAATGAAAAAATGAATCAATTAAACAAAATAATCAATTTTTGCATAAGTAATGAAACAGTACGGTTAACCTCTTGTATCTTTATTTTGTCATTGCCCGTAGAGTACCCGGTTGGGCATCGGTTTGGAAACGTGACTACGGTAGCTTTTACCTTGTCTCTGCTCCATTGTGAGGACAGTGGACGTACTTCTGCGTCGTGACTCTTCATTTGGGGACCTAACTCGTAAATTTTTGCTGTCCGCGCTGTCCAACCCGATACTGTTGCTGTTGTTGTTGCTGTTACTGCTGTCGGATGGGAGTGTCGCCTGCTGACTTGGACCGTCACAATCTGATGATGTGACCCCAAATGACACCTGTCGGTAGGGTCAACGTTAGACTTTAGAGAAAAATTATTAATAAACAAACAAATAGACTTGGAATGAGGAGTAAACAACAAAAGCATTTCGAAAAGGTATATGTGTATGTCATTTGCTATGGCCTATGCGGATATAAATGTTAGCAAAATAAAAGGACAAGATTGGTCATTGGCCCCCTAGTGGCTCTCTATGTTACTACAGCAGAACTAAATGGTATAACATCATACAAACTTCTTGCTGAAAAGGGTAGACACAACCACATTCCTCTGCAACAAAGAATTTGTCATTACTGTAACCTAATTGAGATTGAAGACGAGAGTCATTTTATTGTGGACCGTACTCTATATGATAATGAGAGAAAGATTCTCTTCAATTGTATACAAGATTATTTCCCTAGTTTTAGATTTTTGGATAGAAAAGAAAAATTCACATTCCTCATGAAACTCGATAATCCTCGTACTATAAACTCCACCTGTTCTTACATTTACAACTGTCTTAAGAAGCGAGAAGAAGCAGAACCTGTATAAATGTAGTTTTACTATAGATATATTTTAGTCTACCATCGCTATTTACCATGACATGTACTTAGTTCGCAATGAGCAAAAATGTACAATAAAGGTCTTTCATTCACTATCTCACGTTCTGCTCTTCCTTTAAAATATTATTTTTCTTCTTCAATGCTAACCTTTCTGCAGTCGTCTCTCTGTACAGGATCCTTGGCGTCAGTACTAGCTTGGACCAACGCCTCCTCGGCATCGTTTAACACGATGGTTGGGCCGTCCTCCATCGAACTCATCTTGACCTCCGGGTCAGACCTAAACAGGGCGACGATAATGTGCCGTTCTGACAGAAAAGCGGACTAAAAACCGCCTCCGCCCCTGAGGCGTCCCCAAAAACTCTTCGCAACAGAGCCCTTCCTATTGTCGTGTAATGCTGAGGTCACATTTCCAAACCGGGGCCCGGCCGGGCTGTTTGTATGAACGAAAAATCAACAATTCTTATCAGGAATATACAGAAATAGTACTCGTGATTATCTTTAAAACTTTTGTGTGTTTTGTTGCCTTTTATATCGTAGTTTTTGTTCGCGAAAGCTGCTCGGCCGAGCTAGCCCCGGTTTGGAAATGTGACCTCAGCATAATAGCGAAGTATTATCTACTATATATGAACGTCACAACCACAATTTATGGGATGTTGTCTGCAAACATTTTTCAGAATTTTTGCATACACATCATGTAACTACATAATTTAATGCTTAATAGCTAGCTATTGTTGACAATAAATATTGTTATCAACATATGCATTCCCGAAATTGCCATAAGCATTGACTTATTTTATATACCGGAGTGCTCAGGGGTGCCAGAGTATACAGTGCAATTTTAAGGAATACAGTGCAATTTTACGGAATACACTGCAATTTTACGGAATATGGCAGAAATTTTACGGAATATACCAGCAATTTTACGGAATACAGTGCAATTTTACTAGAATACAGTGCAATTTTACGGAATACAGTGCGATTTTACGGAATACAGTGCAATTTTACTGGAATACAGTGCAATCGTATTAGTATACAGTGCAATTTTACTAGTATACAGTGTATTTTTTCTAGTAATAATATACGAGTGCACTGTATTCCATAAAACTGCACTGTATACTAATACAAGTGTACTGTACATGTATTCCGTAAAATTGCACTGTATACTCTGGCACCCCTGGTACTCGTACTAATACCAGAGTAACAACCAAAAACACACAGCTATTCGGTAGCTGTCAGCAAGTAACTAACTTAGAAGCTCTATGCAAATAGTGACATACTCATAGCCTCAGAATCAGGACATTAGGTGATAGGTCTGATAGCCTGAAAACTCCAGGCTACGTTTTGGCACATGGATAGGTTCTAGAACGTTAAATTCCAGGATTTGATAATACGGTATCCTGACAACGCCAAGTGAGCCAGTTTTGAGAGAAAATATCTAATTAAAATCCCTTCACCCAAAACACCAACACCCTTTCATGCGGTCTCTAGTATGTGTTACTGGAACAGGGGTGCCAGAGTACTAAGTATACAGTGCAATTTTACGGAATACAGTGCAATTTTACGGAATACAGTGCAATTTTACGGAATACAGTACGATCATAGTATACAGTGCAATTTTACTAGTAAGTACTGCACTGTATACTAAAACGATAGCAGTGTATTCCGTAGAATTGCACTGTATTCCGTAAAATTGCACTGTATTCCGTAAAATTGCACTGTATTCCGTAAAATTGCACTGTATTCCGCAAAATTGCACTGTATACTCTGACACCCCTATGGAATACAGCAAAGAATATACCTTCATACCGTTCACGTTCGATGTCTTCTTTCTCTTCGGCAATGTCCTCTACTACGAAGGTGGGTTTCGGGCCTCTTGCTTGGTTTGTAGCGGAGGTTGTGATGTCTGCAAGTTGCCATATACTACGAAGCTGGCTTTGGGTGTTGTCACGGCGAGAGGTCGCGAGTCCAGGCGCAGAACTCAACCGCCTGAGCCCGAAGTTGGTCGGGAGACCTCCGCGTGTGGTGTCGGGGTCCGACTCGGTGGATGAACAACTTGACTCCGTGGGATGGAGAGCGTTTCTACGGTACTGTAGGTGCTGGAACTTCGGTCTGTGGACGCCGAAGTCTGATTTGGTTCTCCTGTTTAGTTGTTCTTCTCCCAAGCCCAATCTGGAAAGCGACATCTCAAAGACATCGCTGGAGGATGTGTTGGTCGCAGCTTCTAGTTTCAGTGCAACGCGACCGGGCCTTATGACGTCATAATCAAACGATGCATCGCGACCGCGCCTTATGACGTCATAATCAAACGATAGCCTAGGCCGAGTCACTTCGAACTAGTGATGTCACAATCTTCTGAGGTAATATTTGACCATTTCGAACTCCATGACGGAACTATACTGGCTATTCCTTCTAAAAATAGTGTGGTATACTTGAGGTCGGTCGCTAAGTGAGGACAACATTCAGGAGTATAATGTAAACATTCGTTGAACTACAACAGTATTGCTGGTACTAAAGAAAAGTGGCGTACATATTTTTAGCACACTAGCGCTGTTGAAGTTGGTATAATATTTTTCTTTGATTCTTTGTTTGTTTCTCATTTGGCAGTTTAGCGTTATACTGTTTGTACTTTTCGTGTATGTGTTCTAGAACATCAAAATATTTGTTTGACAAACTTACTAAAAAGGCCTGGAAGAGGGCAATTCCAACGTGCAAACGTTGTATTCCATTGATTGAAATAGCTTAACTACCTCTCACATTGTCCACACAGAAAAACGTCTTGATTTTATATGGAGTAAAATATGTTTTCATATCAAGGCGCCGTAACACGGTCACAGGCACACATAAGGACTTAATTTAGAATACAAAAACATAGTAGAACGTTTCTAAATCATACAACGGTTTTAGAAACGTCATTATAAGTGTTTTCTCTTTGAATTAGTAGTACAGTTTATGTCTAAATTCGGAAACAACTATAGTAAAACATCGTGATTTGAAATAGTTCTGCGGTAACGCCACATGCATTCTAGAATATTGTTCTCCATTGCTTCTCCCCACACAAGTATTCCTTTTGGAACAGTCCGAAATGACGTCACTAAGGATCTCCCATTGGAAGACTTACTTGAACTCAAGTGCTTGTCGTTCTCAACGAAGGTATGTCGCGTACTGAGTTGGCGTTTAATTTTGCCGACAAAATATTTTTATCATCTTGTTGGAGTCGTGTCCTGCCTGTTCATTCACGAGTTTAGCATTCCCAGGATGCATTGCGAATATTGGGCGGTAAACCTCATTTGCATATCGCAGGAAGACATCCTGTTGACGTTAAACAGCTTGTTTTTCAGTGTGTTTTGAAGTGTTGAGGCATTTTATGCTAAACATTAATTAAATTACTATGGGTCGAATAGAGAATGACGTTTTTTTTTGTTATTTTTAACATGGAACATGTGGTTTGTAACATTACAGCATCAGTATAGCGTTACCACTATAACGTTACAAACCACATTCCCATGTTAAAACGAACACAAAAATATAATTCTCTACATGTTGTCAGATAAAATGGCCCAACACCTCAAAACACACTAAAAAAAAAAAACCTGTTTAACGTCAACAGGATGCCTTCCTGCGATATGTAAATGAGGTTTACCACCCAGAATTTGCAATGCATGCTGGGAATGGGAAACACGTGAATGCTAGCTGAGAGCGTAACCAAATGTTGAACCGGGATCGTCTGAAACTTGCACCTGATCTGTATAAGCGTCTAGCCTAGTACAAAACACACTGAAAAATAGGCTGTTTAACGTCAACAGGATGCCTTCCTGCGATATACAAATGGACTTAATACCACCCAGGATTTGCAATGCATCCTGGGAATGGGAAACAGGTGAATGCTGAGAGCGTAACCAAATGTTGAACCGGGATCGTCTGAAAACTGCACCTGACCTGGATAAGCGTAGACACCAAGTACAGATGGCGGGCCTTCCTACGATATGCAAATGAGGTTTACCACCCAGGACTTGCAATGCATCCTGGGAATGTGAAACTCGTGAATGCTGGGAGCCTGACCAAATGTTAAACCAGGATCGTCTGAAAATTGCACATAAGCGTCTAGCCTAGTGCAGATAGCGGGCCTTCCTGCGATATGCAAATGAGGCTTACCACCCAGGATTTGCAATGCATCCTGGGAATGGGAAACACGTGAATGCTAACTGAGAGCGTGACCAAATGTTCGGATCGTCTGAAAATTGCACCTGACCTGGATAAGCGTAGACACCCAGTACAGATGGCGGGCCGAAGGCTGGCTACAAAGGGACAACATTTTCACACCTTACGCCAAAGCTTTCTAACAGTCTGCCTACTGTCAACTATCGCCTGTAACGTTGTTATTCTCCTCTGTCTACTGATGTTGGAGCTGGAAACATACTACGGAGACTTCGTGGCTTTAAGAAAACTTGGAGAAAGTCGTCCCGTGGGGAGACAGAGCTCAGGTAAGGCCACAGCAAGTAAATTTTATGGATGACACCCTCGACAGATTCCAAATTCAATGCGATAGGGCGAAAAAAAATCAAGACGGGCAAAAAAAAGATTCTTTCATTTTCAAATTTTGAGGCCTTGTTAAACAAAAATTGAAGTGAAAAAACATAATATCACAACCAAACAGATCTTATATTCTTCAGTATTACCTGTCCTTGCAGATGTGTAAAGACCTCAATTGACTATAAATTCTAGCAAAACAGCTAGCCGTACCATCATGGGCAGCTACTGTACTGGGTTGGGTTAGATGCATTGGAACATGTCAGTGTCAACATTTGCGATCAAACGCGAACCATTGTGCCTCAAGTTTGCTGGATAGTCTCCAAACCCATAGTCATTTATAGTTGCCCATTTTCGGCATTCTGACCACCGTCAGAGACCAAAACAATTCCTTGTTTGTTTTTTTAGGTGAAAATTCATGCGCGCGTTGATGTCATCCATAAAAATTACTTGCTGTGGCCTAACTAACTCTGACATAACCAGAACGTGATATCCTTGTACGCCCCGTTCTCCTCTATTTGAACCTGCTGGGGTACTTGTACCTATAACCTATATTAGGCCACAGCAAGTAATTTTTATGGATGACATCAGCGCGCGCATTAATTTTCGCCTGACAAGAAATTTTGTTGCCCTCTGACAGTGGTCAACATGCCGAAATAGGCAAAGATGTCTGTTGCCATGCCGGAAGGTGGATGACAGATAACTATGAAGAGAGGAGACAAGAAAAGGCTCTGATTTAATGTTTTGTTTCTTACTTTGATGCAGTGATATGTGATGCTGGCTGTGTATATGTGATGTTCCCACTGAATCAAAACCATTTGTACAATGATTGAGTCAAAATTTAAAAATGTAGGAACCTTGTTTTTTTCGGCCCGCCTTGTTTTTTTCGCCCGCACGCATTAGATTTGGAGTCTGCGGAGGATGTCATCCATGAAATTTACTTGCTGTGGCTTTACTGTAGCGGGTCATATTGGGGTTAGCTGGGCCTTGCACCCGTTTCGGTCAAGTAATCCAAAACCTTGTCCTCAAAAACCAACTCCACCTGCAAATAGCCTCCGTAGCACGCTTCTAGTAGCCTCTACCAGGCACCGCGGATCGCTGGAAAAATAGTAGAAATAGGCCGAAATAAAGGGATAGTATACCAGAGGAGACCCGTGAATTGGATCTTCTATGGCCCGGGATCTTTTCTGGTATACTATCCCTTTATTTCGGCCAATATTTGTACTATTTTCCAGCGATCCTCGGTGCCTGGTAGAGGCTAGGCTTATAGAACTTGGGGTTTGGTGGTCTTCGGCTGTTTTCTGATTAGCCCAGTTTAAAAAAAACGGGGTAATTCAACCAGGCTTTCTATGTTGTCTATATGCAATCAGAAAATAGCACATAAAAGATCCCAAAGACCCCCAAACCCCCAGGGTTTTTTTTGGCATGCTATGGAGGCTAACCTGCGAAAGTCTAAAACTTTTTAACCTCACTTATGCTTTCTTGTACATGTATAAAAATGGGAGAAAAAGCCTTACATGTGTAGCAAAGTAGTTGAAATAATTAAGATTATTTCAAACTTCTCAGAGACAGATTTTTAAGATTAACGTCAATTCAAATTTATTCCAGTTGCCCTCAAATTAGTAATTACCCTGGTTACGCCTGCAAAGCATTACAAGTCAAAAATAACCCGCTTATTTTTATTACCGAGTTCACATAAGTTAGGGGTTAGGCCAGGGTTGTACACCTATTTCTGTTTTGTTTAGGCCACACCAGTTTAATTTGTTGGTTCTCGTATTTTTTTAGAAAAAATATGAAGCTACAGGGCGAAAAAATAATAATAAAAACAGGTCTAGGCATCCTATTATAGCCCAAATGCTACAGTAGGAGCCATGAAGTCAACACAAAAGGCTGGGTTGATATTGAAACAATGAATTTTTAACTTTTAATCAAACCACTGCATTGATAGATGGAAACACTGTAATATTATGCAGGAAGAAAATGACTTTCCTCAACTGTTGGAGGCAAAATATGAGCATTTTTAGTTGATTCAGAATCAGAATTTTTTAATGAAAATCGGAACAAAAAGAAGAGGCAAATCCTAGAACCAACAAATTAAATTGGTGTGGCCTTATTTCATTTCAACCCTTCTAGCCTGGTTCCTAGATGCACATCAGTCAACCCCAACTCCCATCATGCAACCGCCAACACAAAAATACGTCATCATCCGGGACATTCCAGTCCTCCTGACCAAAAGTCACGTGACCGTCAGCGAATACGAGCGTCTCAGACGATACAGACCACCCTACGGTTGGGCCAACGTTTCTTTTGAAGGTGAGAAAAAATTGTCACTATTTGGCCACACCAATATTTAATTTGTTGGATCTCGGATTTTTTTTCAGAAAAAATATGAAGCGACAGGGCGGGAAAACAGGTCTAGGCATCCCCAAATGCTACGATAGGAGCCATGAAGTCAACACAAAAGGCTGGGTTAAATCTAAACAATAAATTTTGCACTTTTAATCAAACCACTGCATTGGTAGATAGAAAACCTGTAACAGCTGGAAAGAAAAGGGACTTTCCTCAACTGTTGGGGGCAACTCAGAAAAAAACGAAGAGGCAAATCCAAGAACCAACAAATTGAACTGGTGTGGCCTTAATAGCCAAGACTTACTTTTAAAAAAATGTCCAAGGTGAGTCGTCCTAAAATAAATATCCTGGTTTAACAGTTGTGGCCTTGTCGAAACATGGTGCAACGTTTCAGGATGTTGGTTTTCTTGCATTCACCCTTGCTTCTGTTAAGCGGATGTACGACTTAGGCCACAGCAAGTAAATTTTATGGATGACATCCTCCGCAGACTCCAAATCTAATGCGTGCGGGCGAAAGAAAAACAAGACGAGCCGAAAAAAACAAGGTTCCTACATTTTAAAATTTTGACTCAATCATTGTACAAATGTTTTTTATTCGGTGGGAACATCACATTTACACATCACATATCACTGTATCAAAGTAAGAAACAAAACATTAAATCAGAGCCTTTTCTTGTCTCCTCTCTTCATAGTTATCTGCCATCCACCTTCCGGCATGGCAACAGACATCTTTGCCCATTTTCGGCATGTTGGCCACTGTCAGAAGGCAACAATTTTTTTCCAAAATCAGGCGAAAATTAATGCACACACTGATGTCATCCATAAAAATTACTTGCTGTGGCCTAAACGGATTACGACTTAAAGCCTTTTTGAAACGTAACGGGGCTCTGAGATCCATTTGCGTTGTTTACTAGACTAAGTAATATTCCAAGACTTCGATTTGTTTCAGATGTTGCGTCCGCTGCAAGGCATTTCAACGGGACGGTTCATCGGTCGTTATTCAACGTGTCGCAAGGGGGCTCACCTGTACGGTGTGCAGTTGTTGGAAACGGCGGGACTCTGAGGGAGTCTGGAAAAGGGAAAGAAATAGACTCTCATGACTACATCTTCAGGTAGGACGAGACTTCAATTTTGGGACAGTAACATACATAACACCATATTCAGGGGTGCCAAAGAATTCATACGAATTTTTCGGGATTCATACGAATTTTACGGAATTCATAAGAATTTTACGGAATACATACGATCCATTACTAGAAACATACGAATTTTACGGAATACATACGATCCATTACGCAGAAACCATACGATCCTTACTAATAATCCGCGTAATGCTGGATCGTATGCATTCCGTAAAATTCGTATGTTTCTAGTAATGGATCGTATGTATTCCGTAATATTCGTATGTTTCCTAGTAATGGATCGTATGTACATATATTCCGTAATACTCGTATGCTTCTAGTAATGTATCGTATGTATTCCGTAATATTCGTATGTTGCCTAGTAATGGATCGTATGTACATGTATTCCGTAAAATTCGGATGTTTCTAGTAACGGATCGTATGTACATGTATTCCGTAATATTCGCATGTTGGATCGTATTTATTCCGTATAATTCGTATGAATTCCGTAAAATTCGTATGAATTTCGCAAAATTCGTATGAATTCCGTAAAATTCGTATGAATTCCATAAAATTCGTAGGAATTCCGTAAAATTCGTAGGAATTCCGTAAAATTCGTAGGAATTCCGCAAAATTCGTGGAAATTCCGTAAAATTTGTAGAAATTCCGTAAAATTCGTACGAATTCCGTAAAATTCGTATGAATTCCGTAAAATTCGTATGAATTCCGTAAAATTCGTATGAATTCCGTAAAATTTGTATGAATTCTTTTGCATGCACCCCCCGATTTGTATGGGGGAGAGGCATCCAGATACATTTGCCAGTTAAATGCACCCAACGATGCAGCTAAAATGCAAAATGACTGCTTTACAACTTTTGTTGTCGTCAGGGTGAATGCTGCTATTGTAAAGGGGTTTGAGAGAGACGTCGGCAGCCGGACGTCTTTCTACTTCCACACCGTCACGACACTGAAAGGTTCCCTGATCTCCGCCAGGAAATACGGCTTCGTTCAAGTACCAAACACAACGGTGAGGGCAGGCGTCTGCAAATTACAGAAAAACCCACAAATTACAGAATAAGTGGGATCCTTTGTCTTCCTCTGTCTTGAAAAAAGAAGTCAAACCCAGTAGTTTTTACTAGTAGTTTCTTAGTAGTTATCAGTAGTTCCATGTGTACTAATTATCTGTTTTTATACCATATGTTTCTTCTGTTCCTGCAATTAGCCCTCGGGCACGAATTTACAATAAAGCAATTAATTATACCGTAAGGCCATGTTGATTTGATTATATGGATGACATCCCCTGGGAAGCCCAAAACTGACGCGAGCGTGCGAATAAAAAAAGTTTGGCCAAAAAAATAATTTTTCTTCAACGTCATAAAGGTTGAACAAATGACTAAACATACAGAGTATCGTATGGCGAATAATAATAGACTCTTCTTTTTTTTTCTTCACATTTTTTTTTCCTGAATTGATTTCGGCATTGTATGACATTAGTATAGTTTTCCAGTACTTTTGTTTTTGCAACATACGACATATATTCGCTCATTTTGTACGATTTACAGTATGGTCGAAAACTTTCTTTTTGGAAACGGACGAAAATTCATGAGCGCGTGGATGTCATCCATATAATCAAATCAACATGGCCTAAATGCAACTAAAAGCTGCAGCGTGTTAAAAGCGCTGACTTGCGGTTGTGTACAAAAATGCAGTACACGTCTAGCTTCCACCCTATCATCTCCAGTATATATACAAAAGTGTCGACACAGGATGTGTTTCAAGCACATTAATCTGTCAATATAAAACTATACTCATGCAAGAATAATTAGCTTGTGTACCCAAACATTCATATATGTTTATCTTTGAGTTTAAGCTAACTTGTTTGTTTTGATCTGTTTGTTTTTGTTTTTTTATGTAAGGAGACGATTTATGTTGACATCCCTACTTTCGAGAGGGACTACTTGTTTATGGATGCTGTGTTGTCATGGAAACCTGTTCAGAAGGGTGCAGACGCCAGTGATTCGTAAGTAACCCTGGGCTGTATGTTACCTTTCTAGTTTCAATAAAAACTAGAGAAGTAACATTTCCAAAACAAATGCATGTTTACCTTCGCATATGGTCTGCTCTCTTTATTCTTACTACCACATTCATATATATGGTCAGACAGGAGTCTAAATCCCTCCTGCTATAAAATTGCAACATGATGTAACCCAACACTAGTCGAAGCAAATGCACAATGTTTACCTTCGCATATCGTCTGCTCTGTTAATTCTTACTCAAACACATTCATACAAATGGTCAGACAGGAGTCTAAATCCCTCCTGCTATAAAATTGCAACATGATGTAACCCAACACTAGTTACCATAGCGACAGACGTCTGGTTCAGGTCATTGACCTTATTGGTTTGGAGAAGAAGAAGAAGAAAGAGAGCAAAAACAATATGTTTTCCTTCTGCGAAAGTTAACTACATTTTACAAAGATCGAAAAGGTAGACGTACAAGGATATAGAACTAGTCTCACATATATACTGTTCACAATGTATGTTGTAAACATTGGCGTAACCAGTATATTAATTTTCTCAATCAAACGATAAGTTGTGACGTTTGCCTGTTGTTCCGCCGCAGACCGCCAGGGTTGTTCGGTGAGAGACCGAAGGCAAGCCGGTTCAGAATGCTCCACCCTGACTTCCTATCATACCTGAAATACAGGTGAGTTATCTCCTTATTCTAGCTCTCACTCTGTCAATCATGAGAAACTGCATTGATGGATCTAGCTGCTAGAGGGCGCTGTTCTGCTGCCACTGACGTAACACTAACTAACAAAGAATTGGGACTTACCCCAAATTTTTGGTTGACTCCATCAACCTTGTTCACGGAATGGACCCGTCTACTCAGAGACACGTGAGTAGCGGGTCATACGTGCCAGATAACTTGTGTCGCCCCCCGTCTCTGTTCAGGGTAGGTCTGTGTGCTCTTATGTAGACCGCCTCCTTCACTCCTCTTGGAAAGAAGTTAGTTAGTGTTGGCAGTTAATTTATTAGTCTTTATTACCTTCGCCAAAAAGGTTATGTTTTCAGTAGCGTTTGTCCGTCTGTCCGTCTGTCCGTTTGTGAACAGCATAACTCAAGAAGCTTAATATGCATTGTCATGAAACTTGGTAGGTGCGTAGGTCTTGATGAGACCTAGAAATTATTAGATTTTGGGCCCCCTGGCGCCTTTTTTTTGGTACTGCAGCAGAACTTCCGGTTTTGATATCTCGCGATCTGGACATGCTAGGGTCACGAATTTTGGGTGGTAGATAGCCCTTGGGGTAGGGAAGAAATGACATGAGTTTGGGACCCCTAGCGGCTTGTTCTGGAACTGCAGGAGCATTTGTTGAAAAAAATTTCGAAGAAGGATAACTCAAGAACCGGTTGACGGATTGTCGTGATTTTTGGTATGTAGGTAGCCGCCCTGAAAGTGCATTGAAAGCCTTTGACAGTGATACAATGTATCTGCCTGCAGGTGGCTGAACTCCACGCATGGTTACGGCCGTTTCCAGCCGATCTACCGCCCGTCTACCGGCGCCGTGGCCCTCCTCACCGCCCTGCATGTCTGCGACGTCACCGACGCTTACGGCTTCATCACCAAAACATGGCGCAACTACACCAACCACTACTACGAAGACACCTTCCAAAAATTCCTGTTTTATGTCAACCACGATTTCAAGATGGAGATTAAATTGTGGGATGACTTAGATAGGGCAGGGATCATCAGTTTGTATCGAGGAAATATATCAGGAGGATAGGTTAAAGCGATATTATTATGTTTACCGAAGGAAATCATATAGTTTTTGCTCAGTTTCTTCTTCTTCTCCAATAAGGTCAATGACCTGAACCAGAAGTCTGTTACCATGGTAACTAGTGTTGGGTTACATCTTACGGCTTCATCACGAAAACATAGCGCAACTACACCAACCACTACTACGAAGACACCTTCCAAAAATTCCTGTTTATACGTCAATCATGATTTCAAGATGTAGATTAAGTTGTGGGATGACTTAGATAGAACAGGAATCATCAGTTTGTATCGAGGAAATATTACTGGAGGATAGGTTACTAGATAAATCTCCAAGCTTATGTTGGGAAAGACATTTTTATGTTACCGAAGGAAAACATATTATTTTTACTCAGTTTCTTCCTCTTCTTCTTCTTCTCCCAACAGTGACCTCTGACCTGACCAATGACATGATTTGTTGACGTCTGTCACCATGGTGACTGGTGTTGGGTTACATAATGTTGCAATTTCATGGTCTGCTCCTTACTCCTGTCACCATATACTTGTAGTACATGTACGTATGTTTTTGAGTAAAAATTACCATATACTTGTAGTACATGTACGTATGTGTTTGAGTAAAAATTAAGAGGGCAGACCATGTCCGAAGGTGAACATTATGCATTTGCTTTGCAAATGTTACTTCTCTAGTTATGTTTTCTTTTCGTTCTATTGGATGATAGAAGGACGGTCACAGAAGGATAGAAATCACTCACCTACGTACCAATAATAGAAAATTATTAGTGGGGTCGTGTGGCGTAGCGGCAGAGTGCTCAACTCGGAACCAATGGGTCCCGGGTTTGAGTCCTGACATGCCACCGATCTTGTGCCCTTGGGAAAAGCACTTTACACGACTTTCCTCACTTCGCTCAGGTGAAAATGAGTATTGTATTGTCCCCTGTGTTGGTGGCGGCATTAATATAAGTTGAAAAAACTTGAGTGTGCCGTAACCACGTCTTGTGAGTACATGTTGGAATATAAAAAAATAATAGAAAATGCGAAATTATAAGATAAATTACAAGATTTGTAAAATATTCAAATATTCAAAGTTGTATAGTATAATAAGCTATACTGAAATACGGTTATAATGTACCTCAGTATTGCAAATAGTTCAAGAAGCATTAAAAATAAAAATTCTGGTGCATATGTTATAACGTTATTGTATAATTCATACACACAGAACAGGAATGCTATATCAAACCTTCCATTCCAAAACCAGCCGTAACAACGTTCCTGATTGGTTGGAATCCCAGGGAGATTAGCGTCACGCTAACCCAATTTTTTGCCAACCCAATTACCACACCATGCTACAATTTGCGTGAGAAAACAGCCTGCCTACCATAGAAACAATCACTTCAGCTTGTAAAGTCCTGTCAATTAGATTAAGGCTACAGCAAGTACTTTTTATGGATGACATCAACACGCGCATTGATTTTCGCCTGATTTTGAAGAAAAAAAAACAAGAAATTTTGTTTCCTCTGACAGTGGTCAACATGCCGAAAATGAGCAAAGATGTCTGTTGCCTTGCTGGAACGTGAATGGCAGATAACTATAAAGAGCGGAGCTCAGAAAAGACTCTAATTTAAAGTTTTGTTTCTTACTTTGATGCAGTGATATGTAATGCTGACTGTGTACATGTGATGTTCCCACTGAATCAAAACCATTAGCACCATGATTGAGTCAAAATTTCAAAATGTAGGAACCTTGTTTTTTTCGGCCCGCCTTGTTTTTTTTCGCCCGCTCGCATTAGATTTGGAGTCTGCGAAGAATGTCATCCATAAAATTTACTTGCTGTGGCCTTAGGGTCAATTTGCTGCTGTATATGACCAGTGACAAATCACTGAGGACAGAGTCACGTATTTCTCATGAAGGGCAAATATGCTAACTGAAAGAAAGTCAATATGTTTTCTCCATAAGAACAATAAATGTCAATGTGCATGTGGTCACATGTACATGTATGGCGAGTGTATAGTGAACGTGCGCAAATATTTTTGACTTCAACATTTCACTGTAACTGAAATGGCACATACTAGTACATGGTTTCTATGCTTAGCACTCAGTATATAGGAAAGAGTATGGGAGTTGAACACACACACACACACCCCTACCAGTGGACTAGCCCCTGCTGTAGTGTATGTGCAACTGCGTGGTCCAAGGGCTTTAGAAATGGGTGCCGCCCTATACACCACATGGCATTAGAGACCAGCTAATGTTTTGTTACAACTTTGTGAAAATGTTTTCATAGTAAGAAAGGTTCGATGCGTCTAATTTCGTCTCTTTAGATTACTGTGTGGTCCAAGGTCTATAAAAAGGAGATGGGCGCCGCCCTATAAACCACATGGCATTAGAGACCAGCTAATGTTTTGTTACAACTTTGTGAAAATGTTTTCACAGTCAGAAAGGTTCGATACGTCTAATTTCATCTCTTTAGACCACTTCCTAACGTAGGAATGTTTAACTCATCAGGAATTAGAAACGCAAATGTTGACGTCTGCTTGAATAAACCGGTTCAACAATGGTACAAGGCTTTCTTCTTTTCATGGACGATAAAATGTCCAGTGTTTACAGTACACGGCGGAGAAACAGCGACACTCAAAGATCACAAAAGCGCGCGTGTTTACGGTAGGTATTTTAATCCGTATCGCATGACGTACAATCACATGCCAATCACGTGATTTTGAGATGTCAAGGCGATGTGTGTCACGTGATTCGCTATCCTTGCTCTGATTGGTCAGAAGTGATGCACCTGTTATGCTTACTCAGCTCTCCATTTTGGATACTCACTATTTAAAAAAAACACTGTTAAGTTTTCCCTTTTGGTAATACACTACAATACCTGAAAGTATGAAAACTAAAACTATTTATTATTTAAAGGTATCCAATCCAATTTCAGGGCAGCAAAACTGAAAATATTCTGAATAAGGCAATCTTTGTGATATTGACACATACTGCTTCACATTAGCACATTTGAATCAGTATTTCATACTTTGGGCATTTAAAACTGCAGAAACAAGCCCCAAGATGAGTCTATTTTCTGGGTGGTACCCTAAAAATCCGCCTGGGGCCCTTCCAGTAACCATTTTCCGTCAGAATTTTGGGAATATGTGTTCCATGAGGGCCAATATACATTAGGATATAGAATATTGGCTTTGAAAAATCGTGTTTACAGGCCCTAAAAAAACTGTACTAGAAGCCTTTAATAAAGAGATCATTTTTTTCAAACAATTCTTTCAATTCATAGATTTTCAATCATACCTTTGTCCCCCCCCCCCCACCACACACACACAGACACACAGTACGCCATAACATGCTTAGGCGAGACTACCAGACGAAAATCGCCCCAGGCTTTTACCTTTCTTACATCGAAGCCACCAAAGTGGAAAATCGTATTATTATCTTAACAAATAGACTGCGAGAAATGATCCACTGAGCATATACTTACAGACAATCTGTTCCGGCAAGCATTCTCTGGGACACACATCACAAAAGGGTAGGGTAAGAAATCCCATAGGATAACACATGCACAATAACGTAATTATCGACAAGTTTCCGACTAGTAACATAATTACATCATGTTGTAAACACACAACAATAGTGCAGGGGGTGACTTTTGAAGCAACCATTGTAAGGCCACAGCAATTTAATTCGTTGGCTCTCGGATTTTTTCAGAAAGAATATGAAGCGACAGGGCCAAATAAAAATAAAAACAGGTCTAGGCATCCTATAGCCCCAAATGCTATGATAGGAGCCATGAAGTCAAGACAAAAGGCTGGGTTGATATTTAAACAATGAATTTTGAACGTTTAATCAAACCACTGCATTTATAGATAGAAAAACTGTAACAGCTAGGAAGAAAAGGACTTTCCTCAACTGTTGGAGGCGAAAATATGAGCATTTTTGAGTTGATTCAGAACCAAAATCTTTTTTTTTTTTGCTAATCAGAACAAAAAATGAAGAGGCGTATCCGAGAACCAACAAATTTAATTGGTGTGGCCTAAAGCGCGGTTTTGCCTTGTTAGCATTTCTTGACCTAGAAACGGACCAACTCCACAATGGTTTTTAATTTTTTGTTGACTCCAAACATATTGACAGAGATCTTTGTATATTCGTATACAAATTGACATGGTAATATATCGAAGGAATTCTTTATTGCTATAGTACAACTGTTCGTATGTACTAGTAGACGTGCTACAGCTTTTTGTTGACCTTGTCGTATCTATATATACTTTTTAAGGTCACCCAAAAGAAAATGGCGATCTCTATAGGTCCTTGATACCTTACATATTGCAGGTGTAGTATGGATAAGTCCATTGTTGGGGGAGGTAAGACTACCCGATCTCTGTTGGCCGGAACAACAGAAGAGTGTTTGCCTTTTGTGTGGCGCAAGGTGCCGTGTCACCCCCGTTGCTATGCGACAGACCGCGTTGCCTTTATTTGCATTCCGATAGGGCGCGCGAGAGGGCGGCGCAGTACTCCGTGAGCGAGACGCTCTTACACCGGCACGTTCCGGGTTTTCAGGCGGCCGCGGCGGCGTCCCTTCCCCGCTGACACTCCGACAAGGCCTCGCTGACAGACCAGGCTCGGCCACTCTTCGCTACAAACGCCGTAACAGGTACGTTTCACCAACGGTTAGACTACAAACCTCCGCAACATACTTGCTTGTCTTCTCGACCCGGCGTTACACGTACATAGAATCCAGTGGTATACAAAACGAGACATTGAAAAACGATATCAGTTCGCCCCTTCCCTCCATTCAACCCACAATACAGGCAATCTATTTTGGGAGAAAGTCTAGGCGATACGGCCGCCATGATTTGGTGATTTGTAAAGCTACCACCTGTATGTAATGTGACAGCAAGGCCATACCCCGCCACCGTTGTCATGTATTTATCACCTTTACCCACATAGCCGTAAGCTAGTCGCTTTATCGCTGACTTCAAAGATCACTAGTTATTTTCTAGGGCTCAGATAACC